TTAGTGGATGTAAACTTCTGACTTTGAAGAAAGTAATAAAAAATTCTCTCTCATTATTCTGGCGTTTAGCAAATAGAAATAATGTTGGTGATCCTGACTGACCGAAAACAGGAAACATTTAGTCACGTTTAATGTCAGACAGTGAGAAAGAAAAGGTCAAATGTCTCCTTATACAGTGTGTGTAAACTTCTGGTTTTAGTTTTATAGACTGACTCAGATATAAACCGGAAAGCCTTGTTGTTTTTTGGGGTTTTTTTTAACCGTCACACCGACAAAGTGTTACTTTAGAGCAGAAACGTTAAAAACAGCAGCGTTTGGAAGGAAGAGGAGGAAGCAGAGGACGAGACAGAAGAGGAGGAGACGTCTGTCCGTCCGTCTGTCTCTACAAATGATAACCTGCGTGAGGAAAAATGCGGAGAGGCAGCGAAGGGCCTGCTCAGACTAATTACATTGACCTAATGAATAAATGGGAGCGTCAGAGCCCAACACAGCAGCAGCAACATCAGCATCCACAGCGTTTGTACTCACTGCAGCCCATGGCAGGTGGAAAGAGCCACGAAGGAGTGAGGAACGTCTCGGACCTTCCCCTGGTAGTAGCAGTGCTCTCCTCCCTGTGGGCCAAACAAAACAGCTTCATGTTTCTTGAACAATATTCCATGTTCATCTTCATCTAAACCAGGAAATGAGTCCACAGTGATCCATCACTCAGAGGTCATTTAATAAACAACATGGTGTGGTGTAAAAAAGAAGAAAAAAAGAACACCTTTAAGCTGTAAATGTTTGAATAGTTTCCAGATCACAGATTATAATTAAAATCAACTAAAATCACAGAAAAAAAAGGAATAAATTTGTATGTTTACCATAAAAAAGGCCAAAACTGTAAATAATCTGTTCTTTTATGAATGATCATTTGTTCTATTGCAGCATCTGACTGTAAAATTAGACATTTCTTACTGTATTTAAACCAGAAAAAAGACATATTTGCAATTATTTGAAAGAAAAAAGATGAATGTTAACGACTGAAAATATCAAAATAGTTTTTTAAAGTTATTTTTTTGGCCTTTGTTTGGTAGATCAGTGAGAGAGAGAGAGACAGGAAAGTGGGGGAGAAGAATAGGGGGAGAACATGTGGGAAAGGGTCATGAGCGGGATTCGAACCCATGACCTCCACATTGGGACTGTAGCCCTGCACATGGGATGCCAGCTCAACCAGGTGAGCTGTAGCGGTGCCCCAATATCAAAATAGTTTTTAACTGTTACTTTAAAGGTGTTTCTGTTTTGTTAAATTACAGAAAATATCAATAAAAATCACAAATACAGTTTTAATTTACACAAACAACAAATAAATACTCAGGTCAAAATTGTAAATAATGTCTACATCAAAAATCTTTTCTATTTTTTTATTACATAGGATTATTGTATTTACATCAGCAAAAAAACAAACAAAAGGTTTTCCTGTTTTGTTAAATTACAGAAAAAATCTATTAAAATCAAAAGTAAAGGATTTATTTATAGGTTGACTATAAAGACAACGAAAAATAAAAAAACAAACAAAAAACAGGTCAAAGCTGCAAATAATGTCAACATCAAAAAATCTGACTTAAAAAAATAGAATTAGAATTAGAATAAAACTTTATTAATCCCTTCGGTACAAGACCTCAGGAAAATTGCTAATATATAAATATACATTCTTTCACTTTTTCAGTAAAATTGCAATTTATTATTGTATTCACATCAGCCAATAAAAAAGTCACTTTACAAATACTTTCCAAATTATAAACACATTTTAAAAAAGCTTTGATAGATTTTCTCCATTTTGCTAAATTCAACAGATCATATCTAGTAAAGTTACAGAAAAAAAGGATTAATGTGAACCATAAAACTTACACTCTTGTTACTGTATTTAAAGCAGCAAAAAATATTATTTTACAGATATATTTTTATTTGAAAGAAATAACGTGTATACTGAAGACTATAAGCACATTTTTGAACTCTTAATTTTAGTTTTTCCCTGTTTGTTTAATTAAATTACCAATAAAAAATCACAGAAACAGCTATGAATTTACATGTTAACTGTTAAAAAAAAAAAATACTAAAAAACACACTTGTCTCCATCAAGAATCTACATTTTTACAGATTTTTTTTTTTTTAACAATTTGTCCTCATAATATAAAAACTTTTATTGCACAGTAAAACAGTAAACCTACCCTGTTTAACTGCCTTTTAAATCAGTTAAAACCATCATTACTTTCCAGATATGTGCCATTTTGCAGCTCTTAAACATTGCCGTTCCACCCTTGCTGCCAGATTTTCACCTCTTTTTCTCTCTGACAGTGCAGATCTGCGAACACTGTGTTTGTTGCACTCTGAGCTTAACCCGTCCTCCATCTGCGTGTTAACACTCTGAATCACCCTCCTCCATCCCGACTTCTCCGCAGGACCAAGCCGCACCATCGCTCACTTGCAAAAAAAATTTCCATCTCCATCAACCACTCATCCCCTCCGTCTGCACTCCATCTCCCTCCATCTGTGTGCGTCTCTTCGGCACACACTTATTGTCTATAGCCGTGGATGATGTCTCGGTCTAAGTGCTCTGCAGCTCTTCCATTTCTTGCTGCTAACAGCCATTAGGCAGGAAGCCGGTCTCCCCGAGGAAACGCAGCTTTTATCACAGGATCAATTTCTGCTCCACAGTCTGAAGCTGCGACGCACCTCGGCGTCCGCTTCTGCATCCAACATCTGCATCCAACATCTGCATCCAACATCTACATCCAGCTTCTACAACCAACATCCACATCCAATATCTGCATCCAGCATCCAACTTCTACATTCAACTTCCAACATCTACGTCCAATATCTACATCCAACTTCT